CTTTGCATTCAGCCACGCTTTCCGCCTCCGTCGCCATCTTGTCTGCTGGCCGCGTGTCTCGCTTGTCGGGCTGTGAGGGGAAATACCAGTCCATCGGGCCCGTATAGTGGTGAGGGGAGTCCGCCGCGGCAGTCCCTGGGATCGACTGCTTCTTATTGCGGACCATTTTAGTCTGTTGGTAAGCGATACTGCTAGTTTTAGATAGACGTAAGTCTTCAGCAGAGAGTAAGGGCCTAGACGGGACATACTTGTGTATTAGAAAGGATAGATAGGTGGGAGCAGCATTACGTAGCGATTTGAAAGCAAGAACCAGAATTTTAAATTGAGCCCTATATCTTACAGGAAGCCAATGTAGGGACTGACAGAAGGGCAAGGTGTGGGAGGTGTAGGCGGACAGGAAGATGAGCCTCGCTGCCGCATTCATTATGGACTGTAACAGGGCAAGTTGGGAGCACGTAAGACCACTGAGAAGCAGATTACAGTAGTCAAGGTGGAATGGACGAGCACCTTAGTTGCATCTGGCGTTAAGTAGGGTCAGATGCGCGCAATGTTTTTGAGATGGAAACAACAGGATTTGGTGATAGACTGAACATGAGGCGTGAAGGAGAGGTTGGAGTCAAAAAGAACACCTAGACAGTGAGCCTGCGTGGTGGAGCTGATGTTAGCACCATTGACTTGGAGGAAGACAGACACAGGAGTAGCAACACTTGAGGGAGGAAAGACCAGAATTTCAGTTTTGGTCAAGTTGAGTTTAAGGAAGTGGGCAGCCATCCAGTTAGAAATAGCAGAGAGGCAGTCAGAGACACTAGTCAAGAGGGACATGGAGAGATCAGGAGAGGACAGGTAGATTTGCGTGTCATCCACATAGAAATGATATTGGAAGCCAAAGAAGCTAATGAGTTTACGAAGGGAGGCAGTATAGATAGAGAACAGTAGGGGACCAAGGACTGAACCTTGGGGGACACCAACAGAGAGGAGTTGGGGAGAAGAAGCAGAGCCAGATAAAGAAACAAACACAGAAAGAGCGATGGGAGAGGCAGGAGGAGCACCAAGAGAGAGCAATATCTTGTAGACCGATATTGCGGAGGATGAGAAGAAGCTGTTGATAAGGATTAGGATAGAATTAGCATAGAGTAGTGACCACGAGGTTTTGCAACGAGTAGATCATTGGATACTTTGGTCAGTGCCGTTTCCACAGAGTGCTTAGCGCGTAAACCAGACTGAAGCGGGTCTTGCAGAGAGTTGGACTCGAGGAAGTCTGTCAATCTTGCATACACAACTCTTTCAAGGATCTTGGATGCAAAAGGCAGTAGCGAGATAGGACGGTAGCTGGACAGGGAGTTAGGGTCAAGGTTGGGCTTCTTTAGAATTGGGGTTACAGTTGCATGTTGGAAGGGTGATGGAAATATGCCAGAGGAGAGAGAGAGAATGAGAATTTTAGTGAGAGGTGGAGAAAGAGAAGAAGACAGAGTACAAATGAGATGCAAGGGAATTGTATCTAGGTAGCAGGTGGTGGGGTGGGAGGACTGGAGCAGAGCAGAAACCTCTTCCACTGTAGCGGGTGCGAATGAACATAGAACAACAGAGGGAGTGAGGTTAGGGGAAGTATTGTAAGGGGAAGAAGAAAGACGAGAGATCTCTTCCCTGATTGTAGAGATCTTGTCAGTGAAGTGAGTTACAAAGTCTGAGGTGGTCAAGTTAGTAGGTGTAGGAGGAACAATAGGGCTAAGAAGAGAGTTAAATGTGTGAAATAGTCATTTAGGTTCGCGGGAGAGTGTGGTTATGAGGGTATTGAAATAATTTACTTTTGCAGGGAAAGAGAATTCAGCATTTCTGGAGCATTTTTGGAGGTATTGAGTCAACGATGTGCCAAGGTTATTGTTCGGGGCGCCTGCTGCGTTTAAATGTAGGAGGTGCCATGATGTCTGGTTGAGAGGAGATGTTGGAATTGTAGAAGGAGGTTGCAGAGCTAGGACAGGTGAGGTTTGAGTTAAATAAAAGGAGAGTTTGGAGATTAATGGAGAAATGTTCTAGGTCAAGACATTGGAGGTTTCTGTGAGATTGATGTTCAGACGGTGGTGTCAGTTGGGTCTTAGGTATGCCGATGTCAAAAGACAGCAGATGGTGAAGTTGGTGAAGTGAAATGAGAAAAATATAAACATAAAACTATTTTTTAGAAATAGAAAACAGAAAATTGTCATGTGCGTATGTATTTATCCCCTTTGTTATGAAGCTCATAAAAAGCTCTGGTGCAACCAATTACCTTCAGAAGTCACATAATTAGTGAAATGATGTCCACCTGTGTGCAATCTAAGTGTCACATGATCTGTCATTACATATACACATCTTTTCTGAAAGGCCCCAGCGGCTGCAACACCTAAACAAGAGGCACCACTAACCAAACACTGCCATGAAGACCAGGGAACTCTCCAAACAAGTAAGGGACAATGTTGTTGAGAAGTACATGTCAGGTTTAGGTTATAAAAAAATATCCAAATCTCTGATGATCCCCAGGAGCACCATCAAATCTATCATAACCAAATGGAAAGAACATGGCACAACAGCAAACCTCCCAAGTAGTGATGTCGCGAACCCGAAATTTTCGGTTCGCGAACGGCGAACGCGAACTTCCGCAAATGTTCGCGAACCGGCGAACCGCCCGAAACGCCATTGACTTCAATGGGGAGGCGAATTTAAAACACACAGGGACTCTTTCTGGCCACAATAGGGATGGAAAAGTTGTTTCAAGGGGACTAACACCTGGACTGTGGCATGCCGGAGGGGGATCCATGGCAAAACTCCCATGGAAAATTACACAGTTGATACAGAGTCTGGTTTTAATCCATAAAGGGCAGAAATCACCTAACATTCCTAAATCACAATCAATATGGATTGACACCTGACATATGACATATTGACACCTGACATATGGATTGACACCTGTCCTCAGAGCCCCTGATGCACACGGACACAGAGCAGAATAG